GAAGGGTTCGTCGAGACGGTATCGACGAGTAAACGCAGTGGACGAGGTTTCAAAGTTACGTGGCGAGGGACGAAGTGACGCAGTTGAAAGCTTAGACGCGGGGCGAACTCGACTTATGAGCTCTGAACTCGAGGGGGGGGGGGAACAGCTCTTTTATTTTTGGGGAGAACTACGACAGATTTTATACTACACAGGATGCTACGACTATTCGAGAGTGGCATACGGGTACAAGGGGCTTTGCATTGTTCCTCAAGAAGCTGCCTCACCGAGGGGCACATACCAAGTCCATCAGTAGAGTGACGTCATGCCGAATGCGGAGATGAAGAGCAACATATGGCCACTTCGGACCGGTAGCCGTCGTGAAGGCATGCCGCGAGGTTCGATACCTAATCGGGAAAGACCGGCTACTTCGGTGTGGCTTGGAGCGAAGCGCGCGCTTGGCCGAGCGGCGTCAAGTGGCCCTATTGTTTGCCGAATGCGGAAGACGTTCCGAGATCTACGCACGAGGCATCAGGAAGACCGTGCCGAGCTTCGAGTAAGCGTCGCGCACCGTCGAAGGTGTCGAAGAGCGTCAAAGGCAAAATCGAAGTGTTGTGGGACTGAGTTGAAGTGCCGGGCGGGATGCGAGTGCCGAAAAGAGGTGAATCGGGGCCCAGAGGGGCTTGGCGCCTATCATCTCCTCCCTATTGAAATTTGGACTGCCCTCGGTCCTCCACGTGATGCGAGAAGCGCGATGGTCGTGAACGGATCGAAGCGGAATGGCAACCCGGGTAGACTTCGAACGCCACGTGGCCGGCGCTAAATGCTGGTCGGAAAGGGGTTATAAGCAGGGTAGACTTAGCCTTATTTTCCCCATCCCATCGTTCCTTCGTTGCTACCTCGCCGTCCTTTTCCACATACTCGCTGCTTTCTACGATGTCTGCTCGCTCCGCCACCCCTGCCTCGACGCCCTCGCTCGTCAACCGCCGCCTCGCCTCCTTGCTCGTGGTCCTCGAGGCTCCGCCGACTGCCGACGCCGCGCTCGATGTGGTCGAAGAGTGGGCACAAGACTTGTCGCCGCTCGTGGTAAGTCGCTCGTAAATCTGCATAACCCAACTAACCCTTTGTTGTCGAACAGCTCGCCTATCGCAAGGCCTTGGGCGCCATCCGCAACGAGGAGACGGAGCTGCGCGTCGCCGCCGCCGTCAAGCAACTCGCTGAGCGGGCGTCGGAGTCCTGGGTCGAGTGGGCGTGCGGTGACTGGCCAGAGCTCGCGACCGCCATCGATGCCGAGGTCGAACGACGCCTCGAAGAGCAGAAGCGCCTCGCCGAAGAGGAAGCACGCCGCGTCGAAGAGGCCGCGAAGCGTGCGAAGGCCGCCGAGGACCGTCGCCTCGAAGACGAACGGCGTCGAAAGGACGAAGAGGAACGGCGCCTCGAAGACGAACGTCGCGCGCAAGAGGCCGCCGATGAGGAGTTGGCGCGGATCGCGGCCGCCGAAGGCCTTCTCGACAAGGGGAAAGGGCGCGCGATAGTCGACGAGGAGGTCGCCGAGTTGTCGGACGACCCTTCGCTCGTAAGTGTTTCTCTTCTACCGTCCTTCGATTACTAATCTTTCTTTCGTAGAAGACTCCTCGGACCGTCGAACGCCCGTTCGCGATGACGGAGGTCGACATGGCCGCCGCTGCGCTTGAGAAGCGCCAGGCCGGATAGAAGGTAAGCTCGATGCTCCGTCGAGTCGGTTCGAAGCTAACTCTTCGATAGTGCAATCGTTGCGCCGGCTACCGCTCGGCCCCGGTCGATTGCGTGTGGGCCGAGAATGCTACGACCTGCGATAGGTGCGCGCAGTTCCAACAGGGCTGCTATTTCGACAAAGTGTCTGTCCTGGGCAAAACAAAGAAGACGCGCGGCGGGGGATCAACCACGAAAAAGCGCAGTAAGTCGTTTCTTCTTGTCCTAGGCCTTCGCTGACGACTTCGTAGTTCGGCCGGCCTCTCCTGGGCCTTCGGTCGCGGACGCGAGTGGTTCGAAGAAGTGCCGAGTTGACGAGCCTCCGCGCCCCCTTCTACGACTGCCACTCGATGGGGCCAGCCGCCTTGGCCTTGAACAAGACGACCTCGACGCGCTCGACCTCGATGACGAATCTCGGGGGATCATCCGCGTCATCCGCAAGGAGCGCGCTCACATCGCTCGCCGTCGAGCGCTCCTCCACGACATGGACCTCGACCTTCAAAAGATGGAGAAGGCCGCACTTGCAAAGGGCGGAATCGGTTTCGTGCGCGGGGCTGTCGACGATGAGTAGGCGATGGCGCGGGTCGTCCTGTATCGTAGTTGTCTTCTAGTCGTAGAACATTGCGTAGATGGTCGAATGGAAAATGCGGCCCTTGGCCTAGACGAAACCTAGCGGGAACTAAGAAAAGAAAATGAAAATAAGTGTTCGAAGCCTGTCGTAATATGATCGAAGGACATAGAAGGCGAAATAATAACGTTCATAGCGAAGGAAAATGGACTTAATGAAACTATAGGCTCAGTTTGTCATCACAGCCTAGGAGGACTCGTCTAAGGTGAGCCTCCGCGCAATGGTCGAATCGAAGCGTTCGTAGAACGTCGAACGATGTCGCGACTATCGAGTTGAATCAAAGGTATTCGTACAAGGGATGGTCTGGAACGTAGGAGAAAATCAAACATATCGTGTAACGTGAGAGCAGGCATGGAGAGAAGAAAATACGTATCGGGTTGTACAAGTAATAAAAGGGAAAAACCTCTATTCGTCGCGTTCTTCGGCTTCTTCGACTTCATCATCGTCGTCGTCGCCTAGAGAATTCGATAGTTCGAGTTCTCGAAGATGCTCGGTCGAGACATCTTCGAGATCTTCAGGAATTGGTATGGATTTGCGCGCGAAATACGGAATGACGCGGAATGCTGCGATGGGTCGATTGAGGACTGTACCGTCGAGTTCGCACACGATGTACGCGCCGCCCTTGTTGCACGAGACAACGATGAGGGGGCCTAGGTATCGCGGGCGCATCTTGCGGTTGAGGGACTTCTCGATCTTCGTGTTGCGTATGAGCACTAGGGCTCTGCGTTTGAAGTCGAAATCCTGGATTGAGTGCTCGTGCTTTTTCTCGAAGCGAATTGCTGCAGTCCGACGTGCTTCGTAGACCTTCGAGTGGAGTTCAATGACTTGCTCGACGCGTTTCTGAAGCGCAATGGCTCTTCGGGCGATGAGATCGGTCGTCGAAAGAATTGAAGTCGGTGGTGGTTGCAGGTACGTAGCTTCGACGATGTCGAGAGGAATGAGCGGATGGGTGCCCATAACAGCGAAGTAGGGTGAGCAGCCCATGCGTCGTCGAGTCGTGATGCGCTCGGACCAAAATACAAAGTACGCAGCTTGGGACCATTTCTTCTCATCTCCGTCGGCTGTCTTAAACAAGGCTTGTCGCGTGCTGAAGTGCGGACGTTCGACGAGACCGTTTGCCCTCGAATTGTACCCACTGATTCGAATATGGTTGATGTGGTACTTCTTCGAAAGGTAATCGGCCGCCTTGATGAACGCCGTACCGTTGTCGGTGACGATCTCGCTGAGCGCACCCCATCGACAGAGGATGTCTTCAAAGATCCAGTCAGCGAGGGCCTTTGCTGTCTCTTTTCGAAGCATTCGAAACTCGGGGTAAGTCGTGAGCGAGCATCTACCCTGGACCAAGTACTTGTATCCGCCCGAGGCAGGCATGTGCATTGTGTCGATGTG